CCCACGCACCCACCGCATGCGTGGGCAGTATGCAGATGTAGCAACCCACTTGTACGCCCACGCAGTTCAGTTGTGCGCATGCGTGAGCGACCAGCATCATCCAGCATTCACTTAGGATCTCAAACATGGAAGAAGCACCTCCGATTGTTCTTGTCCTTCCCTCTCGTTCTTCTTCCCATTCGCCTGTGTCATCAATTCGTCATTCACCCGTCTTCTTCAAGATGACTACGCCTATCCCATCACCCGCGACGTCTACCAGTGAAACCTCTACCGCGGCCAGCAGTGGCGCCAGTGCTACCAGCTCTAGCACCGTTACTACAACCATAGTCTCGCCCCGCCCCTTCGCTACCTGCGGAGGAAGGGTCTGGAGACACTCACGCAGAAAGTGTGTGCACAGAGGTGCGAAAGTTTACAATGACGTTGTCGTTGTGCGCGTGATAGGAACGTGATCAAACTGACCGCGCCCAGTCGCATGGCAACACGTGTGTTGACTCCTGTATCATGCTGTAGCTGTCGTTTGAGCCATGAACTGTCTATTCTGTGGCGTCCTTGTTCCTCCTGGAAGTCGAGCGTTCTTAAAAACGAAGGATGAAGAGATAGACAATATAATAGAGTCATTGAAGCACAGATATGACTTTTCTGTAAGAGATTTTGCGAAGTTTTTGAGGAAAGGAGTGATTTGTAGAGGAAAATGTCTTGGTTTGATAAGCAAGTTAATGAAATTGAAGAAAGATATTGTGGCTTTGGAGAGTGAGGTAGCTGAAAAGTTTGGAGAGGTTATGCTGACAAATGACCTTGGTAGAGTAAAAGATGATCAGGTGTCTGAAGATGTTAACAGCACTGCTGAATCCCTAGGCAAGACTAATGAATCCCCTATAAGTCAGAGTCTATCTAATGTTACTTCTACTCCTAGAAGCCGTAATCAGAAGTTTGTTGGAGTAAGTACAATATGAGATATTGTGTTGCATTCAAATTATAATTTTTATTTTACAGGTAATAACGATTTGTAATGGGAAAAAGTCTGTAGCGCGTTTACCTCCTTCGTTAAGAGGATTAGGACGTTCTTTGGGTAGGAAAAACAGGAATTCAATAGTAAATCATGTGATGAAAGATGTGGGAATGAAACAACTAGTAATAAACAAGTTGAGAAAAGTTCTTATGAAGGAGTTTGCTAAGCTTTCGAAAAGGAATTCTTGTTTTACTGATAAAGGAATATCTGCATTAGACAAATTCAATTGGTCAACCATTGCACTGAAGCTAAAAGGAGCTGCTCCAACTCTATTCTCCCTTTTGGAAGCATGCACTACGAAAACAGAACTGGAGAAAAATATTGTGATTGTAGTATGCTCTTCAATATTGTTGAAGAGTTTTTGCGAAAGGGCTAACCTTTTCCAGAGACTGGTGTCTGTGCTACTGTTTACTGGCCATGCTCCAAAACAGGTATTACATCAACATTTGATTATGTACCTTAATCAACATTATCTTTTTTATGCAGTTGTATAACCAATTACAAAAGGCTGGAATTTGTGTATCTCACAAAACCACAATAAGAATAATAGATGAAATGAGTACTGACTTTGATCAACCTGTAATTGACTGGTGTAACAACATTAAAAGGAATATCTGGCATAATAAGTTAGTTTGGTAAAATTTAATTCATTACACTATTGTAAATATATTTCTTTGTTATTAGCACACAGCTGGAAATAGTGGAACAATCCACAGCTATAGAGGAACAACCCACAGATATACATGTCGAGGAACAACCTACAGAATTGGAGGAACAACTGGCAGAAATAGAGGAAGATATTGCTTCTTTGTTTCCGGAGGAAGATCTAAATCCCACAGCATTAATGCAGTCAGGGGCAAGTTCAGAAATAGAGTCTGCTTCATCAGGTGCTCCTTCCTCACCACCTTCAGATATCACCATTTCTCATCTTAGCGAATCTACATTTTCTGCAAATAGCCAATCAGATGATTCTGTTAATGACAACACCAGCTCTTATGTCTTACAAAAGCCTAAATTCGAATCATTCAAACTTGTAGGTGACAACCTTGATAAAAGTGTCAGACCTCGTCACGAAACAGTCGATAGTCATTTATGCTCTCTCCATTACTTCCATTCTTTTGCTGTAAAAGACCGCTGTGACACTTCAGAATTACAAGATAACCCTTCTCTACCTGATGTTGATTTGACGAGTTTCTCTTTTGACGTAATACTGCCCAGTGAAGAAGATTTCATAATGTTACAGGATAACTATACCATCATTGCTGCACGTGTCATTCAAAAATACATACCTTTCTTTAAACAGAATGTCCCTAAAGTAGTTCGTCATATTCGTCATATTCATACTGCAGAAATGTCTCAAAAGTCTGATGTGGTATGTTTCATTGACATATACATGTACATGTATATTTGTGTGCATGATATCACATTCTTTATTATACCTATACAGGTTCCATTAGGAGTCCTTTTTAAAAATGAAGTTTCACATGAAGATATGATTGATATAATGAGTCACCTTCAACAATACGTTCCTTGTAACACTGCTGAAGATGAGATTACAGATCCATTAACTAATAAACCAGAAAAGGTCTACATTGATCAGTTTCACCATATTCTCTTTGGAGGGGATCAACTCACAGTAGAAAGATCTGTCGGAGCTAAGAAAGAAAGGATTAATGAAGCAAGAGGAACTGAAAGGTTGGAAGGGTTACTCCCTGTAGTTGAAGATTGGCATGCCAAAGTTGCATTTCTAAAGGTTGGCAAGTGATAATTGTACATGTACATTGAACTTTATGCATGCATTATATACTATACTATACTGTATTGCATTGTTATGCAAGGCATAATAACAACTTTTGGTACCTCACATATAGGCTATATGGCGAATACTGTATAAGACCTCTTCTGCATCAAATACTGGGACCCTGTACCAACTACGAAACCTGCTAATGAGAAGGAGTGTAACTGAGAAGATTAGGACTGATCCAACGGCGTGTGAAGAATTTTTTCTTCTAGTTGTAGATGGACATATTCTCAGTGCTGCTATGAAAGCATTTGAACTAGATTCGTTAGATGCCACACCGCAGTCATCACAGTTTCAGGGAGATTTTCTAAGTCTCAGCCCAACTGAAAGAAGAAAGATATTTTTATCATCTGTGAATGAGCTACTTTCTGACCGTACTTATCAATTTGCTGTTGGTAAATGTATCAATGATAACGATAGTGTCTATACATATGCAAAGGAGTTATTGTCACTAGGGATGCTCTACCTAGAGTTAATAGATGCTATTAGAGAGGGTGACGGGTTACGTATTCTTCGGTGTTGGCGTTATCTACTGTTGATATTTAAAGTCACCGACAAAAGAAAGTACGCCGTTCAAGCAGTGACTCTCCTCTTCCAGTACGAATTTTTTTTCACTGAAAGAATGAGACACCAACTGCTGTGGAATAGAACTATTAATGCTACTGGCAGAATTGGGCACAACATCCCCATGGATCTCCACATGGAGCACCTGAATAGGAATCTGAAGTCTGCCATTAGTCACCTATCGTCAAATGTTAGTAAGTCAACCATAAGTAGATTGGGCAAATCCATGAAGAAGTTAGAGGCTGTGACGTCTAATTATGATCGGTGCTCTAAAGTTTCTCAAGATACGGGATATCACTCTAACCCTTCACTTACAAAGGACCTTAAGCAAATTATAGAGGAACTTAATAAGATGTGTGTACATGAAAGAAAAGAGAAAAGAAAACATTCTCAGTTCCCCCGAATGAAGGGCAACATTGTAGGCTCGATTAAAAGACCAGACCTTGACAAGTGGCTTTTGGATCATCTGAAAAGAATCATGCGTAGTTTGTAGTAGTACTGTTATTGATAGTTGACTAAATTTTTTAATAATAAATGTAATTAACAAATTAAAATTTTAATGCTGATTTCATGAATAAGATTTCCAAAATTATGATTATAGTATTACAGTTCATGTATATTACAGCTAATGTATGAATTATGAAGGAGATGGAAATTTGCAAGAAGTACAGGTACAAACCATTGCACAAATATCACAACACACACAATCAGGTACAGGTTTAGCAGGTAGGTCACCACAATCAAAATCATTAAAAAGTACAGCTCTCCGACATTGACTATCATTTTTACAGTAAGCTTTCATAGTTTCCTCAACATAACACTGACCGATGTCACGTCTTGAAAAATAAAGTTCAGCAACAGCACTATTACCATCTCTACCAGCCCTTCCAGTTTCCTGGATGTAGCTCTCTAAATCTGACGGAGGTCCCCAATGAATAATTCTATGAACGTCGGGACAGTCAATCCCCATCCCAAAAGCAATAGTAGCAATGACAATTCGCAGTTGTCCATTGGGATAAGAGAAAGAATGCAGTATCTTCTTCTTTAGACTGGGAGTGTTGCAAGCAGTAAACATGTCGATCATACGAAATGGAGAATAATCTGGAGCACCAATCGGATTAGTAAACTCTGTCCCAAGTGAGGATTTAAAAAGGAGATACAAGTAGCTACAATCCTGATAAGTCCTACAAAAGATGATAGTTTTCACTGTCTGCAGCCGAGAAGTTCGTAATTCTTGAATCAGTGGCTCAAAAGTATCGTCAATAGATTCATTCTTTTCTGAAACGGAGTAATAGATATTAGGCTTGTCAGGAGATTTAGTAACTAAGACAGCATTACGCATTCCAAGGATACGCATCACTTCTTTCCGTGTAGCCTTTGTAGCAGTTGCTGTCAGTGCCATAAAATGTATATTTGCAGAGAAGAATCCACGCAATTCTCCAAGTTTGCTAAAATCTTTCCTAAAATCTTTCCCCCTATAAGAATCGATAGTAAATTAAAACTATAAATTGAGCATAAGAGACTTACCACTTCTTAACACAGTGGGCTTCATCAACAATAAATGCCACCAATCTTTCATTTAGAGTAGGGCTACGAAACAC